TTTAATTTTTCCTTGTAAATTTTGGAAATGTGGTTTTTCCCTAAAGCAGTCTAGTTCCTTGTGAGTTACTTTCAAATGCATTTATTTAAAGATAAACTATTACTATTATACACAGGTTATGTATGAGTTATTAATGTTCTTTATGGTCTCTCTTCAGAGCCAAAAGGAAGCTTTTCGTCTTGAAGCAGGTTTGCTTAGCTTCCAATACTTAATCTCCAGAAGTGTTTGGAGTAAAGCACTGCTTAAAAAGTGACTGTTTTTAAAACGAGTGCAAGGCTAGTTTAATACTGTAATTGATATCCTTCAGAACTCTTCATAGGCTGTGTGAGCATGTGAGGCTGTGAAAGAGAAAAAGAAGAGCGTGGTGATGACCTTTGATGCACACATGCGTTTGAGTCACAATTTGTCTAAAAAATCCAGGCTTCTGGAAAAATGGTGTAAATAACAATGAAGTGTAAATTGCTCTTTCTGAAGCTGGGCATTGTTTTAACATATTCAAATTGTTGTGCACAAGTTACACACTTTTATCCAAACCTTTCATTTTTTGGCATTTTGATTTATTAGGCAATCTAATGTATTAAGGATTTGAGCATACTTAGCATAGCACCTCTTTATTTTGTATGCATTGTACTCCATGTCAATGATGAATTAATTTCACTGGAGCACAGAAGTTGTGATTATTTAAAATAATACCCCATACTAACTTTTAAATCTTAGCCAAGTGAAAAAGAAGCAGACTGTAAAATGTAATTATAATTTTTAAACAATATGTGCATGTCAACTACCTGTGCTGCTGAGATTTGCTGTAATGAATAGAATTCGTGGATCACAGATTATCTGGTCATCATTCAAACTCAAGTTATTTTTTACACTGGAATAGATTTCTAAAATAGATTGCTATTTTACATGCAACATATAGCAATTTTAATGAGAAAGGAATTATTGGCTTTGAAAAAGAGTCGTACACATCCTACATATAGTCCTGTGTATAAGCCAGCATCTGCAACTATCAAGATTTTGTTTTGTGGTAAGGGGTATTACGTCTGAATCATTTTGAATGTAAAAACGTGAGAGATGGAAATGCATGAATGTTAGATCAATTATTGTATTCACTGCCAGTATTTTGTAGAACAAGTGGAGGGAGGTTTCCGTCTTATTCACATGTGATAGATGAGTGTAAAACATCTTTACATCAAGCACTTTTCTTTTCATAACATTTTTGCTCAACAAGGGCTTAAAATCACATATCTGTTGTAAACAATCAGTACCTTGAATTTATTATAAAGATTAATTTTTAAGGTCTTCCATTGGGTGATCTAACTTTGCCTGACTGCTTAGAAGTGACAGCTTTGTAATGTAGAAGAGTCAAGAGAAAAAGTTTAATCAGTCCACACAGTGGGAAAAAAATAACAAACACAATTCTCATGGAAAGTGTGTATATAATGCTAACAGAATGTAGAAGTTTTAAAAGATTTGCAAATATTTTGTGATTTTTCACAAACAGATTCTAAAGGTAGTTGCCTGAGAGGCGCAATAATTCATTCTTTCCAACTTTAAAGATTAAGTATAAGGAAAGGATTACAGATGATACTACAGCTCCTTCTCCTTATATAATGAAATAGTCTTGAAATATGAAATATTTGATAATCCAAGAATGTTGCACTGTAGTATTACACATCTACAGTTTTGAATAAACCCGTGGAATAAATACAAAAGTACTATTGTGACTTTAACAAGGAGTCATGTACTAATTTATGTAATAAGTGGTTGGGCACGCGTTGTTCAAGATTATGGCTGCAAGAAATGGCATGAATTGCTGGGTGTGTTTAATACTGGATTATAGCAATTTGAAACATGTCAAACACATGGCTAACGCCTCATGTTTCACTCAATCTTGCGTAAACCTGAATAGCCACCATCCATTATACCCTTGGTAACAACACAATTCTGCAAGTAAATATTGTTACACTAAGTAACCTTTCAATCCAGATTGTTTAAGAAGAGAAACTACTATCCTGTGCAGTCAGCTACAGTGCTAGTATGGTGCTTCAAAAGAAACCTGAAGAAGGCTTCCAAAGGACATGCACTTACTATAACAAATGTTCTGGATTTTCTTTGTCTCTATACATATTCTTTATTGGTTTCTTTCTACAGTTCTATATAGGTATTTTTCTGCAGAACAGAGAGTTATCTTAGAACCACTTTAATAAAATGCCATTTCTGTGTTTGGATTCGTTTCCAACAATTAGCTTGATACACATGCATTTTGTAAGACAGTAGGGGTCTTTTATAATTGATTTATACATTGGCAGATCCAAATGTTGCCTGTGGATAATTATAATACTTTCTTTGTGTTAAAAGATAAAAATAATCTAATCATATATTAGACATTTCTTGCCATTCTTATTAGTATTAAAAAAAATAATATGGATTTTGTATATATTTTCATATGGGTCCTTGTTAAAAAAACAATAGTGCTGCTTTTTGTGTACTTTTTTATATAGTTCATTGCTTTCTTTTTGCTGGAACAAATCTTGCTATTTTATAGTTCTTGAAGTACAAAATGTATTATAAAAGGGATTTCCCTTTGTCAGGTGCAGCTTCTGGAAATGTACTACTGTATAAAAGAATAAAACACTGCAAGTAATGTTTTCTTCATTATAACCACATATTGTATGTTTTCGTTCTCAATCTTCAGCCGTTTTTTTATTAAATATCAAATTCTAGTCCTGGTTGTGGTTGAAAAGTACAATCTCTTTCCACTCCTCCTCTGACCATAACTCTTTAGGTTTAGGTTAGTTCAGGTGTAAGGAATAGATTAACAGCCAAATAAGTTCAATTTTTATAGATGTTATTTTTCATTTTTGTGAGAGTAATAAAGCTAAATTGCCTCAAGTTGTAATTTGCAATTTTAAGTAGGTTTAAAAAATAGATTAAATTGTATTCACCTGTTAATAAAAGCCTTTCTTTTCTTCTTTTTTAAATATATCTTTTGAGTTTTCAGTGCACTCACTGTCGTTAAAAGACTGCATTAGAATTTTCATATAACTAGTAAAGGCAATCAGACCCTCTTTCTCTGAATATTTTAAACATTGTGCATGTAAAATTTATGCCTAATTTGAATACTTATTAGCTGCCTGATCCCAGCAAAGAGTACTAGCTTTGTTTTCTTCCTGTGAAATTCATCACTGGGTGTCACATTTTCCGTTTGTATTCTCTTTCTTAGCAAATGTTCAATAAAATGTTTAACAGGGAGTGTTTGTTCATAAACACATCTGGTACAGCAGTTGTTTACTGTAGCTTTAGCAGCTGTCACCCTTTATGTAACTTTGCTCTTGTTTGTTTTACTTAGATCCTGTTTATTCTTGCTCTGAACATCCTCACATTAGCAATCAGAAGTTTCTGCATGTCCCTAGAAAGCTTTAACTATTTTTTTTAAACGTGTTTTAGGATTAGCAAATAATTTATGTTTTGCACTTACCTCGGATAAATACTTTTAAAAAATGGAATGGTCCGTGTCTGATCTGGATTAGATCATTTGATTATGTTCTAAGGTTATTTCCAAGAGGCCGCAGTCATGGTGTGCTTTAATTCAGGACTTGAAATAAATCACCGGGGCAAAGTAAGGGCCAAATGTATTTGTCCAGGCTAAGAAGAACAGTGTCTTTCATGGTACACATAATTGATAATGTTTAGTATGGTGTCAAGATAACCTACCTGGAATACAATGAAAAATATCAATCTTGGATGATGAAGGTATTTTGTTCTCCTAATGTCTGGACAAGATGTAACAAAATAAAGTTTGTTGAATTCATTTTTAATAGATCTGTCAACAATATGCAGACATGAATGAAAAACAAGCACAATACTTGAGGTTACAATATACGTATTTTACCCTGTGAGGGTATATGTGGTGTTGAGTTGAGCCAGGAGAAGAGCCCTTTTTACATTGTGGGTGCAGAATATACTGTACCTTGAAATAGTGGTTTGTTAGGTCAGAATGGTTCTTTATTTATTGCGAGGATTTCCACTGATCTTGGCAGGACATCTCATTGCTATCCTGAAAGTACAGTGCATTTATGCAGTGAAAATGATAAAACATTTATTACAGTAGAGAAGGTAATATGCATAATTTATGCTGTTTTTAGCACAATCATTAGTGATATTCTTGATAGATTTTTATTTCCAGCTTTCATATCTAATACATGCCAGGAAAATTAATTTTATATCTTTCATTTATTTGCCTATGTTAAAATTGAGGTTTAAGTCATCTTCATCTGAACAGTTTGATTGCTGCTCATGCATGAGCTTAATTACTTCCCAGGAAGGACAGTATTAAATGTTTTAAATGTCACAAAAATAAATGAATATCAGTGGTTTGATTAAAAAACTAGCCAATATGTGACATTGGAGCTTTTTCTTAAAAAGCCTCCAAGGCAAATTTTATTTAGTCACAAAAAAGGGAGAAGCCCATTATATCATTTATCACTAGGTGATACCATATGATTTGTAACTCCCTTACAAAATTTTAATTTTGCATGATTAGCTGTGCATCATTAAACAACTCCTTTTGCATAAGACATGCTGTAAAATTCTGACAGAATCAAGATAGTGAATATTTTAAGTAAGGCTGTATACCTAGCTATGGTTGTCAAAACCAGATAACATATGAGGAAATAGATGTGTACGTGCACAACCATGCCTTTCCCTTAAATTGCTTTACAGATAGCCAAACCTTAAAACACATAAACCCCTGTCCATAAAAGCCGTTTGCTTAAAGCCTAATGCATGACTTATTTTGGTTGTTAAATTCTGACCACATTTAGAGATTGCTCACAAAACACATTTGTTTTTATAGCTTCATTTATTCAAAGAGTGAAAAATGCTTTTTGCATCAACTCTTCCCCGCCATGCTTTAATTTGCAGAAAGGGACCACCTTATTATTGAAAGTGTAAAGGTATAACAAGAGCATTAATTGATGCCTCTTAATCACTTTTAGGTATTAAGTCATGATGCAGGAATCCGCGACAGAGACAATAAGCAACAGTTCAATGAATCAAAATGGAATGAGCACTCTAAGCAGCCAATTAGATGCTGGCAGTAGAGATGGAAGATCAAGTGGTGACACAAGCAGTGAAGTAAGCACAGTTGAACTGCTGCATCTGCAACAACAGCAGGTAAGTTGTGTTTTCCTTAGAATAAGTATGTGATTTCAAGTACACAATAACAAAACAGTATTGATGAAAATATTTTGTGTATTGTGTAGCATAAAATCTGAGTGTGACAATGTCAGCATGCAACCTATTAATATGTTGATTATTGTGAGGGGGTAGATAATGTTTGCTTTGTTTGTCTTGCTGGCAGTATAGGGGCCTGCAGCTGTTTGAAGGTGCTGCTTTCATTTTCAGAAGGCAATTCTTGCTTTTTATTGTTTGTGTGTTTTCTGTTCAGCCAGATGTATTTCAGGCTGTGAGACCTGTACTGGAAACTGAGTTTGTTTGTGACTTGAGCTGTGATACCTGAGTATCCACCAGAGGGCCATGTAACGTGATCTTAACCTTGTTACCAAAAACTGTAGAGCACCTTTGACCAGAAAATACACGAGAAGCAAATAACTGATGATGGGGAATGGGCGTAAATATGTCTAAACATTAAACTTAAGATAATGTGTGTATTTGTACATGTACACATATATACAGTGGTACAATAAAAAAAACAGTAGTTATCAGTTTGATCTGCTTTGTGTTTTTAATCTGTGGAACAACTTCTTGCATTTTTTTTGTTTGCATTTTTAGTTTTTTAAGAAAATGTAAAAATAAACAAAAAATAAAGTACAAACATTCCCTTTCTCAGTAGCCTTTTGTAAGTAGATGGTCAGGGCTGCACAAAATATAGAGAACCATAAATTATGTACATATTCTGGGGGGGATACCAAAAAGCAGTAAAGAGCAATAAGTATAAATGCTGCACAGAGTGCAATGCTTATAAATAAACAGTAGTAATTGTAGGTTTTGCTTTGCTGGAAGCTGATTTAGAGCAGTAATCCTTGTGAAGGGTGACATCCACTGCTTGCGAGAGGCAGCCGTATCCCTGCAGGAAGTGAGACAAGAGGGCCAGAATGGAGATGGCCCTTCAGGCTGTGTTCTTTCCAGTGACTCTTCTCAGCACTGCAGGGCTTCGGCTGGTGAATGGGCTGTGGCTTCTTACGCCCGACATGATAATTACAAGACAATCACATGGTTGGCGGTGCTTAACCTCTAAATTAATCATTATAGATGTGCCTTCTACCACTTCTAGAATTTTACAGTTTTATTAATCTGCTGTATTTTTTGCAGGTATATGAAATGGTACAATTTAGGCCTTTATGCTCATATTGTTGGACACATTAGATTTTCATTCTATCATTTGATAATTAACCTTCACAGAAATTATTGATTTGATATCCATCATTTTTCATTTTTGTATGTTACACAAAGCTGTTTATTAAGTAGAAGAAAACCAAATATGAGGTATATGACTTACTTCAGGATGAATCGTCCCTTTTATATTTACAGTGCTGTGTTTTTGGAGATTAAATAAACTGATAAGCTTAAAAAAAGCCTATAAATGTCTCATAGATATTCAGGACATTGAAGAGAAATTTTTCAAGTGGTGAAAGAGAATGATTTCAGAACACTATGGAGAAGAGCAATTTAAATCTAAAATATCCAGTTAAGTAGTAGTAACAGACAAGTTCTGAGGGGGACAGGCTTGAAAGTGACAATCTTTTCTTCAAAAGTGGAATTATTTCTCTTAGACTACAGACATAGTAAAATCAGTGATACAGCTAATGGGGCTCAGGAGGCATTTTATAGTGGGGCCCTTCACTATTAAGTTAGCATACATCCTGTGCTTTAGTCAGAGTCCCAGTGCAGAGCACCTTGTTAGAGGCAAAAAAAACCTTTCTTTTGTAAAGGACAATTTCTTTGAGTTATTTAAATGTTGACATGGCTAATTTTATAGATATTGTATGTATTTAAAACCCTTTCGTGATTTCGTAGCAGTGTGTTTGTGGATCTGAAGCATACATTTGTATCCACAAATGTATGTATATCTGTTATGGTAAGAATAGATGCACATGTTGGGAATCATTATTCTTTCAATTATAAAATCATCATTTTTGGATAATGCTGATATTTAATGCTTTACATATGAGGAAACTTTTAAATACCCCCAGTATTGTGAAATTGTCATAAGGAAAAACAGAAACCTATTGTAGGAATATCTCTTTTTTTCTGATTTCATATAATGCCTAAATTATTTTTTTTTTATTTTGTGAAACTAATTTAACTTTCTAACTCCTTTAATCAGGAGCTGGCTTTAAGAATAATACACAGTGATGAATTCCATATTGTTCTCTTAGGCTTAGGTAGTCTTTCAGTGCTTGATAGCAGATAGTGTCAGTATTATACAACCTGCAGCAATAATTAAAAAGCCAGCAACCTATACTTTTTTGTTCATTACCTTGAAGGCTGAAAGGAAAGTTTACCATTGAACTTTAGAAGGATATTTTTTGAGTATCCTGCATAAATGTAAAAACTGTCTACATAATTTTCATTGAAAATACAGAACATTATTCCATGTGAGCTGATGAATTTTTATTTAGGTATTAAAAATGCATAGTTAATTGATAAGGTCACAAATGTCAAAATGGTTGCCACAAGGTTTGTTTTTTTTTCTCCAAGTACATGCGATCTTGCATTTCTAGTATTCATTAAGTCAGTTGCACAAACGAAAATCTTTGTGAATTTTTCAAGAGATATTTTTTACTATGGAATGTATTGCACATAGCTTATATATTTACATAATATTGTTTATATACACTTTTTAGCAGCTATGATTGAAGCTCATTTTGATTAAACTGATTTACCCTTGGAATATTTTGTTTTTAATTACAGAGTTAAAAAAACAAAGAATGCTGATAAAAGAGCCAAAATGCATGTATGCCATTTGTGTTTGCTTCCAGCAAACCACCACATAATTTTTTAATGTATGGTAATTTTAATGTATATGCATGAAGTTGTGCATTGATCTTCTGATATGTATTGTATTGTGCTTTATAGACTAGTGGGTTGCTTATAGCTGGTTCTAATCCATAAGGAGTTATTACGTATATTGGAGCTTAAGAAAAACTTCCGTCTCATTTTCCCATTTAGCACTTTTTCCATGTAAAATGTATTTTTTGAATTTGGTTCCATTGAAGATGTGCAATCTTATTCTTGGATTGTGTGCTTTGATTTTGGTCTTGCTTCGAAGTTGCCTGCAGTCTATTTGCTGTCTTCCACAGTTTATCATCACTGTATTATAAAGTTCCATTCAGGATAGGTACAAGTGGTAGCGTTTTCATCGTGCCTGTCTTGCATGAAAGCATTTACAGAGGAAATATGACAAGAACATGTTCAGCTAATGAGGTCGAATGGTTGTTACATTAAATTTAGGCGGTGTTTTCTATTAGGTTTTATTTATCAGTATTTGCATTCAATCTTTTTACATTTGTTATCTCTCGCCCAGTTGTGGGGATGGGGCGCCTTTTCTCATTTCACAGCCAATTGTTACTGTGCGCTGACTCTGTAAGTTGCTGGTGAATATAAAAGTGACTGCAATTAACCTGACTTTGTTGCTTGAGGAGAATTTGAGATGAGAAATCTGACAGCAAATGACAGGCATTTTTCTGGGTTTAGCACAGAAGAAAGTCTGAGTAACATTGCAAAGAGAGGCATTAGGGAGTAGGTACCTGCAAATTAAGTGGCTGACACCGTCTATTGAGAATTTCGATAGTAGCGTCTGGAATTTTTATGTTAAGTTCACATATTTTATATTCATAGTGAGCTTCCTTTTGAGTATTTCCTTTGTGGGTGTGCATGATCTTGTTTACTGCATTTGGAATTTCACGCAGCTGATCAGTGGATAGTCATGATTGTTATTTTATTAATATCTTTTTCTTTTGTACATTTTATATTAAAGTACAGGTGAAAAAAAATAAATTGGCCAACAAGAGATTTGAAAGTATGCCAGTTAAATAAAGGAATTGATGCTCCTCATTAGAGTCTTGCAGCTTAAAAAAAAGACATAAAAAATGCAGATTTTTATTGTTTTGATTTATTTTTTGACATGCTAAAGTTGGTGGATTCCTCACATCAATGTTGCACTGTGCTGTAACAAGAGGAGATGCACTGAGTGTTACTGGACAACAAAATAGTTTGTTTGTCTGGATCAGTTCAAGTAATAGGTTTATTTTAATGTGTCATATGTGATTTTGGCTCCATGTGACACAGAACCAAGTTTTAAAGTGGTAAAAGTTTGCATCTCGGTTTCCTATTAACAAAGTCTTATGGGTTGAATTAATATCTGCAGTGCATGTGCTTCCTGTTCATTTTGAACATGTGACATCTTAGGAATTTTTTCTTCTCTGGAATAATTTGGCTGCAGCACTGTCAGTGACAGTAGCAGTAATCATATACTGTATACAGTAGTTGTAGGAGAGCTCACGGCTTGATAGTTTTCCTAACAATCTTGGTTTTTAAAGGCAACTAATCATGGGCTGCATCTCCTGTAAGCACACACTACACATACAGTATGCAACATTTATTGTATTTGTCAGGTGTTTAGGAGGCCACTGGGAGTTTTAATTAATGTCAGTTAGGAAGATACATTGTTCAGTTGGTAACTGCATGCCAAGTTTCTCGTTTTCTTATAATCCATATACTCCACAGTCTTTAGGGAAAATATGCAAAATTAAAAGTTACACTGTATGCTGTTGTCTTTACAGCATCCAGCTCATCAAGCAAAAACTCTCATGCAAATTTTAATTTGCCCTTGAGCATAATTTAGAAACCATAATCATCAAGGTTTTACGCTGTGCAGATAAGAAAAGGAGATGGCATTAATTTACACACTCTTACACAAAGAACCTCATTAGTTTTATCTTACAGGCTAAGATTTTATTACCGAAGTATGTAAATAAAACATCTTACAACTGCTTTAAATTTTTAATAAAGGATTTTAAAATATTAACAATTTCATAAAGAAAGCTTATTGTTCGGCATCATGATGTAAAACATGATTGCAACATTGGTTAAAAAAAGGCAGTTATTTTTGTAGTGGTTTTCCATTTTTACATTCTGTCTGGAGGTGTTAT